TTTTTTTTTTTGGTGGGGGGGGGAATCATTGATCTTTTTCTTTGTATTATTCCATTGTACAAAATAATAGCTATAAGAGGAGAAATACATGTGATCCTTAATACAGATTTTGATGGGAACATGTCTAGACTTGGCTGTTTAATTTTAAATGAACTAAAATTAAATAAAATTAACAACTTATTTGCTTAGCTGCACTAGGTACATTTTAAGTTCTCAATAGCCACATATGACAAATGGCTACCACACTGAATGGGCAGACACAGGATTTTTCTATCATTGAAGAAAGTTCTATTGGACTTTCCAATTGAAGTGCACACAGTACTGCTCTGGGCCATGGCTGTGTGCTAATTAGAAAAAGTGGCTCCCTTCTAAGCAAATGCTACCTGTACATGAACCTGCAAAGGGCTTCATTTACCCAATCATAAGCCTGAAGCAACCCTGGATAGACATCCAGGTGATATAAAAATTCGTGAATCTTTGAGATAGTCCTGAAAGGAAGGAAACAAAGATGACAGATGCTAAGAACATTGAAAACAAGCTGAGAAAATGTTTGCCAAGTCAAATGGTTTCATTTTGAAAATGTGTCTATAACCTGGGGATCATGGAGGCTGACTCAGTGATTCATGAGGAATACTTTCAAAATAAGAAATCTTCACTATTTAATGCCAACATGTGCTAACAACCTGCTATATGTGCTGTAAAAATGTTTATGAACCAAAACCAAACTCACTGCCGTCAAGTTGTTTCTGACTCATAGTGACCTCCATTGGGTTTCTGAGGCTGTAAATCTTACAGAAGTAGATTGCCCAGTCTTCCTTCCATGAAGCAGCTGGTGGATTTTAACCACTGACCTTCCAGTTAGCAGTCAAGTGCCTTATCCACTATGTCACCATAGCTCCTTAAAAATGTTTATATATATGTGCATATATATACACACACACATACACACATATGTATGTATATATATGCTTTTTAACAATTCACCCTTGTTTTCTGTTAGAAATCTTTGTCTCCTGAAATCATCTAAAAGTGGATTGCCAAGTACACGCCACAAAAAGGACAATGTTTTTTCTGGTTTCAGTCTACAAAGCTGCCGACACAGCATCCCAGGTAGACTATGGAAGCACTTTCTTCTGATTGAGATCAACAAATCCTGAGGAGATGGATGAATGCTAAGGTTATTTGTCTCACATCTGATGTGTGATTTGTTGTCTAGTGTTTTGTCATTCTTCATTTTACCATAACATTGATTTCTTGGGAGAAGAACTGGACATTGTTGATGTGGAAGGGCATGAAGCCTGTCAGAAAATGTGCACTAATGCTGTACGATGCCAATATTTTACCTATTCCCCACCTCAAGAACCTTGCAACAAAAGGAAGTAAGACATATTTAGAGTTCTATAGATGCCTCCGCCCCATCTCTTTACAAGGTCTATTGTGTTTATTACATTTTGTTTCCTACATGCAGGGGTAAATGCTACTTAAAATTTTCTGTGAATGGATCCCCAACTAAAATACTTCACGGCAGGGGAGGCATCTCTGGTTACACATTAAGGTTATGTAAAATGGATAATGGTGAGTATTATGTTCCTTGAAAAAGTGTTTCTGAGGAGTTTGTCTATATGAGTATATCATTACTAAGGGAGTTAATAACAGACACAATGGGGAGAACAGTTAGTAAAAGAAATTTAGATTCAATTTTCTGTTATTTTTCACTCCTATCACCCAGAATGATCATGTGTTATAAATAAGATATTGAGCCTTGAGTAAAGTCTGCATTGCCTAGTGTTAACTGAACATGTACTTTAATTTTTACACATTTATACAACTGGTATTTCAAGGTGAGACCCAAGTTCTTATGTTTGATTCTTTTTTATCAAAATGAAAGATCTTTCTTTTCATCCTCTATAATTGAAATATCAATCAATACTTTGGTTAATCAAATTATGCATTTTCTTCCCATTGGCTGGTATTTGATCTTTAATTAAAGAATAAATAGCCATATTATGTTAAAAATTATGAATCTATTCAGGAAATACCAGAATAACTCATTCTCAGGAACCTCAAGAGTTCTGCATACTTATGAATATTGACAAAATTATAGTAATAATTACTATAAACATAATAATTACTATAAACATTAATGTGTAATAATGAAGGTTGAAGGATGGAAACAGAAATAGTGACTAGATTAATTAAGACCTATAATAATAAAAAGTACAATAAAAATCAGATCAGCTGTGAATTCATCCCAATGTTTCATCTCTGGTAGTAGTAGCAATGATGGCTTGTAGGCAAATAGAATTATTCTAACGAACAGAAACCTCAACAGGAAGTGGCATACCAGAAACACTCTTCCCTTAATTAACAGGATAACATACTATTAAAACTCACTGCCATAGCATCCATTCTGACTCATTGGGTTTTTGAGGTGGTGAATCTTTACAGAAGTAGATTGCCCCATTTTCCTTCCAGGGAGTGGCTGGTGGGTTTACACCACCAGCCTCCTGGTTAGCAGTGAAATGACTTAGGGACTACACCACCAGAACACCTTAACTTGTTCTAGCTTTAGTATTTATTGATTTACCTAAAGCTAGTTGTTTTTAGATTGTAACTTAATTGTTTAGTATCCAACTTTGCAATACACTATAAATGAAGGTGATATAAGGAATAAAATGGAAGTAATAATCACACTTTGCAATAGTTTTATAGACATAAAAATTATGTGTGTCAGAATCATTTGCTGTACTGAGAAGATTAATCAAATCTTAACCTCTGAGAACTTGTTTTGTAAAACCTACAGATGTTGAATTGTGCTCAATATTAGTATCCTAGCTAGGAAGCTATAGCTTGCTATAGTTTAGAGGAGCTCTGACAGGTATCTTTAGATGGCCTATGCCTCTTTAAGAAGCCAGCCAACTAGGTTGTATCTCATATATTCCTTGTTGTCCTCACAGTAAATTTACCTGAAACAAGAAGAAACATCCAAAATAATTATTGTCTTAGTTCTACTACATTAGACCAGACAGAGAAAATTTTGTTGTTAGTGATGTTGCCACAGTATTTAAATGGGACCAGCACTTACAACTTGATGAACTGCAGAATATATTTCCTTCCCTCTTTCCTTCATTATATTCTCTTCTGTTGAATTTGTAGATTCTGGCCTATAGAGATTGTAGACTACTAGGTGTAGAGTGAATACTGCAGCAGAGAATATAAGAGGAAGGAAAAGAAAAGCTTATGTCTTTTCTAGTGAACCTTCTGAAGTAGGTAAAACTAGATCATGAGGCTTTATTGCACTATATTGGATGATATAATATCCTAATATGAGAAGAAATATCTAATAGAGATGTTTATTGTGTCCTGTACTGTCATTGGTCTACAATATACTAGTAGTTTTTGAAGATATATAGCAAATGCCATCAAAAGAAAAAAATTTCTTAATACAAAATATAATGTTAAACAGATGTCTTCATACTTTTGTTTAAACTGCAAAACAAAATTGAATGAACATTAAGAGCTATGACTCTTATAAGGTTTTGTTGAGTCATTTACCACATATTTTAGTTATTGCATACCTATTAGTTTTTCTAAATGTTGACTTTCAGGCTATTTCGTAGCTTGTACATTATAAAGGCTTTGCAATAATTCCAGAATATAGAAAAAAAAAATCTTTAAAACAGCCTTCTAAAATTCATCCTCACCCTATCCACTCTCAAAGAGCACTCTCTGGAACTCTATTTTCAGTCTGTCAGCCTGTTCAGGCTTCCACAAACATATCACACTCATTCCTACCTCACCTTGCTATCAGTTGATGCCTCTTGAATTCCCTTTTCTCCTGATAGCTCCTTCTATTTCAACCCTACGCCAGAACTCCACACTCATTTCCTATTGAGGAAATAAAGACCCAAAGAGGTTGTTTTACACTCACAAAACTAGTGACTATACCATCTCAAATTTGGCTCTTGCATAGTGACTCTTCTGCTAACTTTGACTAAGAATATAAAGCGTATCTGAGCTTCTAAGTTTTGCTATTCTAAGTGTGGCCTTGGCACAGCATAAAAGCAAACATCCCATCAGCATCATCTGGAAGCTTATTTGAAAGAGTTTCAGACCCTGCTGAACCAGAATCCACATTTAAATAGATCCCCAGGGATCCATATGTACATTAAAGTTTTAGAAGCAGTGCTCTGGAATACTATTGTCTATGAACACCCTTGTTCCACACCACCTGTGTTGCTGAGGTAGACTTAACCAAGGTGCCACTCAGGAGGTAGACTCTCCTGTTTGACATTTCAGAAGGTGGAAATAGGATGAACCATTCCATCAAAGACAGTCAAGAAGGAAGGAAGCTGAGGGATGAGTCTGAGTCAAAGTCTTTTGAAAGAAGCAGAAGCTGACCCAAGAGAACCACAAATAGTCAAGGCCAAAGGGCAGAAGCAGTACACAGACAAAAGTATGGATGTTTAGAACAGGAGTGGGTGGGAGCAAAGGTCAGCCTGAATGGAGGGAAGCATGGGAGCAATTGGATATTTGAAGAGATGCTCAATTTTACTCTGTAACAGTAGTTCTAAAACTATATAAGGGCTTGTTGAATCAGATTGTTGCGTTTCACCCCCAGAATTTGTGATTCACTCACTAGGTCTGGGGTGGGTCTCAAGAATTTGTATTCTACATAAGTTCTTAGATGATATTGCTAGTCTGAGAAGTACACTTTGACAACTACTGTTTAAAAGAGCCATTAGTATTATCATTTTAAGAAGTATAAGACCTCCTTATAGTACCAGATAAAGATGGCAGAATCCTTTGGGATAAGCAATTATGTGTACTTTATGAAGATAAATGTGGCATGTTTTGCTTTGCCAACTTGATTACAGTTTCTTGAAGTCAAACGCATGGTAAACTAATGAATTGTGGGAATGTTTTTACTCTTTGTGCCTGAAGAAACATAACTGTTAATGGAAAATGAAGACTTAGCAAACTACTCATTGCAAACTTTCTGTTGTAGTGTGTACAACTAAAATAAACCCCAGAATTGTTGGAGGAACTGCATCTGTCTATGGTGAGTGGCCATGGCAGATAACTTTACACATCACGTCACCCACCCAAAGACACCTGTGTGGAGGCTCTATCATTGGGAACCAGTGGATATTAACAGCTGCTCATTGTTTTGACCAGTCAGTATCATTTCTGTTTATATTAACTCGCCATTCTCATACATATATGAAATCTATTGTTGGTATAATAGTAAATAAATAATTTCAAAATATAAATTATCCTATGTATTTGCTAAATTAGTTTTCCATCTTTTTTTTTTGTTGTTGTTGCTGTTGTTATGTGCTGTGAAGTCGGACCCGACTCATAGTGATCCTTCCTTGGGTTTCCAAGGCAGTATCACTATGGAAGTAGATTGCCCAACCTTCCTTCCAAGGAGTGGCTGCTGGGTTTGAACCGCCAGCCTTCTGGTTAGCAGTCAACTGCCTTAAGCGCTATGCTACTTTAGTGAAGAAAAAAAAAAAAAAAAGAAAGAGTCACTCACATTCCACTAGCTCCAGAGTAGACATAGGAACATGACTGTTTGCATGCTATTGCACTTTTCCTTTTAAATACATTCCTCTCCCCAGGGCTTTCCAATTATTTCACATAAGAGCACATCACCTTCTGTGCACTGGCTCAGAACAAAACTCAGAAATAATTCTTATTCTCTGAATCTATTTCCCCAATCTTCTCACCTCTCCCCTGCCTTCCCATGTCCCTGCCTCCTTTCTTTCCTTCCTTCCTTCTCCCTCACTTCATCCTCCTTTTTCTTC